GCCGAGGCGAGTGCAGCGCACTCAGAGCGTCCCTGCCAGACGGCCTGCCCGCCGCCGCCCTTCTGCAGGTCCCAGAACGAGACCCAAAGACTCACTACGCACTGGCCCCGCGCCATGCGGACAGACCTGGACTGGAGCTTCTGCCTCACTGCCTCGAAAGCCATCGGTGCCATGGCAGCGCCAGCTGGACCAGCCCCGGGACCGGTACCAACCTCTGGGAACGCACCGACCAGTGAGCAAGGTGACATGCCGCCCAAATCCTAACCTGGGCGTGGGGCGGGCCGCTGATAGAAACGGAACTAAAAAAGGGCCGACTGACTCTGAGACTGTTTTTCCCACCCTACAAGTTGCCTATCATGGTAGAAAGATGATAAAATGAGGAAGGGACCTGAGGATGGGTCGGATCACAGCAGCTATCTCCCCACAGCTAGCAGAGATACAGTGCGAGGTGGCTGCACTCCGTGAGGAACAAAAAGCTCTGTCCCGTCTGGTGGAGTCGCTGAGCGCCCACATCCAGGCCTTGACGGAGCAGCAAGAGCAGCTGCGCTGTCAGCTGCAGGACCTGGACTCCAGACTGGGAGCTGGGTGAGTCCCGCCCTTCCCTGTAGCCTGAGCCCTGCCTCATTGTCAGGGCCGTCCAAAACTCACCTAGAAAGTACCCCCCTGCCTAAAACGGCCCGTCCCCAGGTCCTAATAGCTCCATCCTCTAGATAAGCAACCTCCAAGTTGCCAGCCCAGGCCCAGGCAGTCTCCCTCTCTCACAGCCTGCTGGCCTATCTCACACCTGTCTTTGGCTGGTCCTTTTACTTCCCCACACTCCTTCAATCAGAGTCTCCTAACCCCATAGGGCCACCTGGGCCCTCATTGGTCAGTCTCTGACTTCAAATGGTGATTGATTAATCCTTCCATCTTTTTTTTCTCCTTCCTTCTCACCCCCCACCCCAACTCTGTGAAGCAAGATTTAGCTGTGAAACCCAGGCTAACCATGAACTCTCCATCCTCTTGTCTCGGCCCCCTGAGTGCTGAAGTTTCAGGCTTGTACCACTATACTTAGGCAGTCTTTACATCTTAGCTGTGACAAGCTTGAGCCAGACCCTGCTTCAGACACACCTGGCTCTCTAATCTGAACAAATCCCAACTCCACTCCAAGCCCCAACCACTGGATCTTTGGCTGTCCACCCAGGATGGAAGGGAATTTCTCAGCTTTTGACCTGCCCCCTCTCTTGATCTGATCTCCCACAGGATCTCAAAGTTGGATTCTGAGGGTGGTCTTCCAAGCAACGGAAGCCACAGGCTGAAAAGTCTGGTGAGACTCTTGCCTGAGAAGGGAGGGGAGTGGGGAGTCTGTTTGGTGAACACCCCCACCACAGGATCTCAAAGTTGGATTCTGAGGGTGGTCTTCCAAGCAACGGAAGCCACAGGCTGAAAAGTCTGGTGAGACTCTTGCCTGAGAAGGGAGGGGAGTGGGGAGGATGTTTGGTGAACCCCCCCCCCCCCAACCCCAACTCCAAACCCACTTCCACGGCTTTCCCAGGAGCACCGCCTGACTGAGATGGAATGTACTCAGGACCAGCTGAGGGATGCCCTCCACAGCCTACAGCTTCTTTCAGGGACACCCGGATCCTGGAGCCAGCCCCTGCCTCTCAAAACAGCATGTGTCAATGGAGCTGAGCTGTCAATGGGCACTTGAGCTTCTCATTCCATTGCACGTGGTCTGGAAGTCAAGAGAGCCACTACACAGAGTTTTATGCCTCTGCCTCAGCCCTTCATGGTCGTTAGTAGGGGACAGAATGGGAGGTGCCAATCACTCTGAAACTGTGAGGTTGTCCACTAAATCTCCATTTCAGTAAAATCACTCGCTTTTCTGCCCCTACAAACGATTAATCAGAGAGCATACCCAGGTCTCCATTCAGCACTCAAATTTTTTCTTACCTAATTTCAAGTTTCCTGAAGATGGAAGTAATAAGCAGACTCTCACTATTGTTGTGATCTAGGCCATCACTCTAGGAGAATCCATTCCCTCATCTGTCGAATATATCTAAAATTCTCTATATAGTGGACAACTCTTAAAGTATTCAATAAAAGGTATTAATCATTGTTATGGGAAGTGCCTGCTTTTCGATGAAGCACAGGCCTCCCCCCACCCATCCCACCTCATCTTCTATCAGTATCTCAGGCCCCATGTGATGAATCTTTGTAAATCCCAAAGCACAATTCAGGCAGGGAGGGAATGAGTTGGAGGCAGATGAAGAAAGGGAATGTAAGGGGAGAATACAGTTGAGTTCTGTGGCTGGTTGAGTAAATTGGTAGACATTTGACTCATGGATAAAAGGGTAAGGTAGGTGAAACAATAGGCAGAAGACTAGTAGCATTCACTGAATGTTTGACTTGGTAGATATTTAAGGCAGGTCACTAATCATAATGGATAGGTCTATTTAGAGAAGACTGACTCATAATAGGAAATTAATACTTGGACTAAATGAGTAATCAAATTTAATACACAAACATACACACACACATCTCATATGTATTGAGGTCTTTTGGAACTCCCAGATGAGCCACGGGAAAACAATAGAGCAGATAGACATGAACTCCTCCTGTCTTCTTGGAGAAGACAAATGTGCACTTGATGGGTGATTGTATGGCTGGTTGTTGGTAGGATTGTTGAAACCCTGAATTATATGAATAAATAGATACTTGGTTGGTGAAACAATGGGCCAGTACACATGGTTGAATAGGTTAAGTGAATTTTTGGATAGATGAGTAAGTGTTTAGAGGGATGAATAGATAGGTGATTTGTTTATTGGGTTGTTGAGTGGTTGATGGATTGAGCATGTGGATAAACGGGTGGACAAATGGTGATGTGCGGGAGAAAGAAACCAGCTTGTGATGTGCATATGTGAGCTAGTCTGGAGGCTGGAACTTGATGACGAGGGAAGGAGAGCTCAGCGTTCGGCACAGGTGTAAAGTAGTTCTAGGGTCTTGGAGATGTTGAAGTCCAATGTAAACAATGAAGAAGGACCAGTGAGTGACCTTGTGATTGGAAGAGACTGGAAGCTGAGGGCTGACTTGGTGGATTCCTCAACGATCCAGGAATGACCCCAGGGAAAACTTCTCTGCTTCTTTCCCACTCGTCTGGTGTTACTAACAAACCAAGTATAGGAAGAATCAGTGGGGTGCAGGAGGACAGGATGTTGTTATAGTAACAGAGCCCCTCCCTAGACGCTCGGGTCCTGCGGACCCTTTAAGGGTGACCTGCTTGGCCACTCCCAATATGGCCGCGCGCCCGTTGGAGCCCCCCCCGGAGTGGCACAAGGGGGGGCAGACCTCCTCATCATGGCTGCCCGGCGGGGCTGTCGCGCTGAG